GTTCCTAACAAATTATACTCTTCACATGCCATGTAGTTTTATACCTCCATGCTTTTTTTCACAGTTCTAGTCTCCTAGAATGTCCTCCCGAACCCCAAATATAGGTTCCCCAGTGCTACCCATTCTTTAGAACTCCAGTCTCTGACACCTTTCCTTTTCCTATAGCTCAATCTATGAGCATCTTCTCTCCTAGCTGTGTGTTCTGAAACCTCTCCTGGTTCACTCATCAACTTTTTCCTACCCTTTGATGGTAAGATGCATTTCCAGTTTTTCTGTGGTTACTAAAAAAGCAAAGCTCTGTATGAATATTAGATGGATGAGATAACTGTTAAATACAAGTTGACCATTAGTATTTGAAAAATAACACATTAACAACTGCAGATCATAGTATAAACTGTACTTTGTACAAAGTGGGTGATAAATAAAAATATATTTATAACAATGAACATTATAAAATAATAACAATAAATTTTTAGTGAGTGCTTATGTGCTAGCCACCACAGAGAATACTATATATATTATCTCTTTTAGTCTTTACAATATCTATGTGAATAGGTACTGTTAATTTCCATTTTACAGACGAGAAAGTGAAATTTAAAGAGGTTAAGTAAGGTGCTTAATGTGAATACTTAATTAGGAGTCTAAGAAAAATAATAAAGTGGAATTTAAATCAACTTCAATATGACTTCAATCCATGCTCTAAAAATTAGATTAATTTAAAAGAATCGTTACTATTATACAAGTCTAAATGGTTCTCATTGCATATCATAATTATTGTTTTTATGAACTTGGGACATCAAATGCTATACATGTTAATTTTTATATTAGAAAAAACTAAAAACCTGTTTTTGAAATACATAGCAGAGCAAAATTGTGTTCTTGGGTTTAAGCAAATGCTAGACGTGGAAGACATATCAAGTTCATTACTATTTTTAATGAAAGTGGTCATGTGACTATTATAGAAAATAATAGACACATGACAACCATACACTGAGCTCAACATTTATGTCTGTGGACATGCAAAGTCCCAGCAGAAAGCATCACTATCTCTGGGAAAACTCCAAGACAGCAAAACAAAACAACCCAAGACAATAATTATTCTAAAAAAAGAATACTTAAATTGCTTTTAGATGTTTGAGACTAGGAATTTATGAAAGTGGATTATATGAGGAAGAAAATGTTGTGGGCTATATTGCTATAAGCATCATAAGACAAAGTGATTATAGTGTAATAAAGGACATGAGATGTAAATGTAAATCACAGATTACAGGTAAGAATGAACAACTGATATACAAAGAATCAGCCATGTGTAACTTATGATGCTACTGATTATTCTGTATTGTTCCTAAAAATTAAAATTTTGATCCCCATGTAGTAAATACATTTTCCTCTTTGTATTACACAGCACAGAAATCAGTCGTAACATGTTAATGAAATTAACCTTTATCTTTTACAAGACTTGCAGAGAAAAAAACAAAGAAAAATTATCATGTAATGTAATTTGTTCTCCAAAATTATTGAACTAAAAGATGTCATTTATTACATTCACATGATAATATAAGAAAAACATTTTATATCTCATTCTTCTTTTTACCGGAAATATTTTATATAATCAAATGTGTTCAAAGTTAATTTTGGTACCAAAAAGCAGATAGTCATCGTAAATAAGTTTTTTTGAAAAAAAAATACTTCTCCATGTGTTAGGCAATTAATATATTATTTCAATTAGTGCTTTTATTAATAATAATATATTACTTCAATTGAATACTTTGCAGCAAGTATTATTGTCACTTTCATTTTATCAAGGAAGGAAAACTACAGCTTGGAATGAATAACTGGTCCAGAATTACTAGATAGTAAATGATTTGAGATTGGAATCCAATTTGACCGATTTCTAGGTTTGTAGGCTTCACTCAGATATTAGCCTGCTTCAGTGATGGATGGATTGAGGTATGAGTCACTCTGGTGATTTTATTGCCAGCTAATTTGATAAACCTTTCTTACAGCTACTGCAATATTTCCACGCTAACATGACTTCAACAATAGACCACAAATCATTCAGAAATTAGCACAACTAATGACAATGACTTACAAAAGACAGAAATACTTTGTCACTACATGAAGTTTACAACCTACCAACATTCATATATGTTCATTATTGATCTGCCCACCTCCTTTCCTACTGCCCACCTGCTTCCATACCTCAATCCACCTACTTTCCTATCAACTGCTAGGATTCTTTTATTTGCAAAAGAAATGAATAAGAGCTTTACAAGGTGGCAATTGTGTGGTTCAAACCAGAAGTACAAAACTGAAGCCTGAAGAGGGATGAGGAACACTGAAAAGCAGGGTAAATGCAGAATAATGTATAAATGAAATGTATCTGGAGGCAAAAAAGGTCAGGATAGAAAGAAGTGGATAACCTATCTAGGGGTGCAAGACATTGGGTAAAGAAAGAGAACTCAGTATTCTCTCCCCTGGTTCATATGTAGCAGCAGCCAGTATGTCTGTGAAGGAACAAGGTAAGCATCTGTTCCACAGACCATTCATTTGTTGAATTTCTGGGTCAAAGTTCAAAGCCCAAGCTGCTAATCAACATCATGGTGGTTGGGCTGAGGGTGGGGGCTCTGAAGTGCAAGAGAGTTTGTTTATGTTTGTACTTTTGCTATGTTTAGTTGTAACAAAGGTCAAGTATAGGTCAGATCAAAAGTAAATTGCACAGGTTATCATATATATATTCATATATATATATATATATATGAACTGTGAATTAGGATTTTCTTTAATAACTGAGTGCCATCATTTTAAAATTAGATCTATATTCCTGGTGGATATGTTCCATTGCTTTTATATGTATTCACATCCTCTCTGGTCAAGCTATCTTTTTTTCCTTCTTACTTCTACATTAACCATCTTTCTTTTTTCATGTCTTCAGGGTTTTGAACATCAAATACTGAATTTAATATTAACCAAGCAGGCTAACAGCAGCACTTATCTGCTAATTGACATATGAGCTGGCATGGAGAGAATTTATATTTGTTGTCTTATGATGTTTACTTATTCATTGTTACAAAAAACAAAAAAAAAAAAACACCAAACAAATCCAAGAGGGAAAAATAGTCTTTCAAATTTAAAAGGTCTGTAATAAGGAACAATTGCCTCAATACTTTTATCCTTTCCTTCTGTCCCTTTCTGCATTTTAGTGATTAAGAAAAAAAAAATGCAGTGTGGGATAGAGATGTAGCTCAGTGGTAGAGCCCTTGCCTACCATGCATGAGACATACATATAAATATATGGAGCAGCTATGCATTTAAAAAGAAAACTGTATGTGTGTGCATGTGGGAGTTTTGTCTGCTCTTCTGCCTCTGTCCATGCCTTCATGCCTTCATCTGCTATTACAGACAATACTATGTGAAAACATGCTTCATCAGGAAGAGTCTTGAAAATACATGTGCATGTTTCTCAAGGCAATTATCCAAAATTCAATTTATTAACTTTTAGTGAAAGTGGATGTGTTTGTTTATACAGAATTGTCTTTCTGTAAATAATGCCAAATACAGTGCTGTTCAAAATATATCTATTATAAAGTATTGGACAATATAAATGTGGGCTAATATGTTCAAGAATTGAAACCATTTCCACTTCTTTTGCTAAGCAGGCTGCATATTCCTGGGCCTATTTGTTAAAAGCACTGAGACCAGAATATAAGGTCAGTGTGTAGATCTGTTTACTCATGAATCATTAATTGCATAAATGTTAAGGACCAGCTGCTGATAACAAAGGTCTAATTCCTTAAGCATAGTACCCTAGCCATTTCCAAGTGCAATTAATTTTCCTCAGGGAAAACAGAAGTTGATAAACACATCTCATAATACAATATTTTAAAAGAAAGGAGATAACTTCATAATATTTAGCTGCTTGTTTTAGCTTTGTAATGAATGTCATGTTGTTTTGTAAAATTGCAATTATTTAAATTGTGAAATAAATAAGAGTCAGTCTTAAAACAAAAGTCCTCCAGTCAGAACATGTTTTTTGGTTTTGGGTTATTTTGGTTTTTGATGAGGGGTGGGGTTGCAGCAGGTAAGCTAGGAAATAGCCTGATATTAAACCTGCCTTTCTTCCCTCAGGAGATCACAATGCAGAAACCTCCAACTGTGAATGGGCTCCTCAGATCTTTCTTAGGACTATTTCACTATTACTTTGTAGCGTTCAAAAGGATGAAAAATTTGTACCCATTTAAGGATAGCTAGCTATATGGTCTGCTCATTAAAAATTAAAATTCGCCTTCATTCTGAACACACATGACATAAGAGTAACATTCATTACTGATCTTGGTAGGGAAATGTGTGTGTGTGTGTGTGTGTGTGTGTGTGTTTTCACAGCGAAACCTTTCCCATAGAGGTAGTCAACTTTTTGCAGTAACTTAACACAATGGCAAGAACTGAAGACCTTTAGGGGAAATATACTGAGCATTACAAGTCCCTGCTTATGTCAGATGCTATGATACATATGTTAATTAACTAGATGTCACATGAAGGAAAGCCTTCCCACCAGGGATTAGGGTTGGGGCTGATCCTTAGAAAGTAGAGACGCAGAGTGTTTCACTGTTTCTTGAAATCAAATCCTTGTTGCCAGGGTTTCATTAAGCTATTTGCATATCTGCTATATTCTGTGGCAAAGAAAGAGACTTTAAGGCTCCTTTAAAGCTCTTGGGTAAATCAAATAATTGAATTCTGCATGCTTCCACGCTTTGGGCAGAAGAGAAACAAACTTTTGTCCTTTCCTTCAGTCTTCCTCTCCACTGGTAAACAGCAGAGGATTCACTCTAAAAAAGTTGCTCAAAAGCAAGCAGGACACCCAGGGGAGTTCGCGGAAGTTATTGCAAAAAGCGCATTTTCTGAAGTGCACCTAGGATGGTAGGTCTGGCAGGTGGGGGTGGGGGGTGGGGGTGAATGGTCTCAACCAAAGAAAGGCATGCCTGCATTTTGAAGCTACTCACCCTTCTCCGCTGTCCTCCGAGTCGCTGTCTGAGGCCCACTCCTCACCGATGTCCGGCAAGGTGAAGACCAGTGTTTTGGGGCCAGGCTCAGAAGCGATCCAAGAACTGGGCTCTCGCTCTCCAGGGCCAGGCTGGCGAGGGTTCCGTGGGCTCGCGACTATACTGCTGTCCCCCGCGACAGAGGGCAGAGCAGCCCAGACTCCTCCAAGGCCAGGGGGTGGCCGCGCCAGGGGCCCCAGGTGGGCGGGGGAGCTGGTGGCACTGTAGCCGCCGCAGGGGGGAGGCAGGGGCAGAGGCTGGACTTTCGGTGTTCTTGGGCTACCGGGTAATGAAAAGGGGGACCTTAATGCTTCTGCCGTGCGACTAGTGGCAGAGACCCTGGGGTGGGAGGCGGTGAGCAGCGGGTGCAACGACGTGGCGGGGCCACGGGAGGCGGAGGAGGAGTCCGGAGCTAGGGAGGGTAAGAGGGTCAGGGTCCGGGTCGTGCTAAGCGAAGTGCCCCCGCCAGAGCCCGCTGATCCCGAGGTAGCAGCACCTCCCGAGTGGCCGGAGGAGGCGACCAGCGAGGGAACCTCGGGGGACGCCGTTGTCGAAGTCTTGAAGATTTTGGCAAAGAGAGACCCAAGGTCCAACACAGCAACCTTCATGCCTTGACCTTGGAAAAGTCCTCGCTGCTGCCAGAAGCCCAAGAACACCAGGAGCCGTGCTGCTGGGCTCCATCCACGGCCGCCCGGGTGCGAGCGAGGATCTGGGACAGGGTGGAGTCCTGGTGGCCTCTGGTTCTCTCTCCACCCCTAGGAAACTTTCTTCGGATGCTCAGCTCCGCACGGCTGGGGTTGGGATAGACCTTCCAGTACAGCCCGACCCACCCACAGGGTGCTGAGCTGCGGGATCGGCAGCGGGAAGTCCGCCACCCTCCGCGAGGAGCAATGCGTTCTGTGTCCCTGTGCCGGGACACCTCTGAGGGTCAGGGGTCCGGGAACCCAAGGAAAGGACCTACTGCTGCTGCTGCCAGCACCACCGAGGGCTTAGGGTGTAGATGGGGCTTTGACTTGCTTGGAGATACCACGACAGGCCCCAGGGACCGCGGTTGCTAAGCTAAACAGAACCTTGCTTAGCTCACCGCTAATTGGGCCCCAGGATTGTAGCTGGGCAGTGTCTACAATGGAAACACTGGCTTCCCTCCTTGGTTCATGCCTTAAAGAAACAGTCTCAAATTTCTCCATCACTCTTAGCTTCACCAGATTCAGCAGGCTCAGGGTGAGAGAGAGGAAGCTGCACACAGCCTTGGGAAACACAATTCTGGTTCCAAAAGGTTCTGGAATTCATTCAGTCTGACAAGGCCAAATGTGATATGGTCAGAGTCAGTCAGGTCTCTGATGTGGGGAAGGTGGGTAAAAATATGTATTCAGGGGGGTACACTTGAAATGGCAGTGCCCATTATCCCCGTCCCTTTGAGGGTCATGTTCATAGTGGGTTACTAAAGATGATACATGGGAACAACAGTGAGGTGCTTTATCCAAGAACTTGGAGATAAAATCGGACATAAAAGAGTTGAATTAGTAAAATCCATAGATAGTGTCTATGTTCAAACACCTATTAGAGTAGGCCAAGAAAGTGTATAGCTTAGATGTTTAAGAACTGTAACTAATCATGCTGACTAAATACAAACTACAGATTCAAAGACAGGAAAGGGGTGAGCTCTTAAAGGGAATAAATTGCATTTTGCTTAATTTGAGGGAAAGTTTGTGAACAGTAGCATGGTGTATGAGTGTGAACATCAACAGCACCGCAGGGATAGTACTGAGCAAGGTTTAAAAAAGATATTGACAGGGTTTATCCATTGATTTCAGGGGGTTCTGTTTTTATCTCAGAAGATGTATTTTCTGGCCTGAGGCAAGGAAAAGAGAGTAAATTTTATAGTGAATAAAATAAATTGGCATTCGCAACTATATGCTTTAATCTTTAAAAAGTTATCAAACTGGATTCTGAGCCATGGTACATTTCCATGGCAATGCCAAGCTTTGCGTTCTTTTGTAGACAGCTAGCTACTTCCCGCTTATGACACTGACAACCTGTTGTAATCACTTTTCTGCATCCAACCATCCACAACAAACTCGTTCCAGGCACTTTTCTTCTTCGAGATTGCAAACAGCACTGAGAGGCAAAGAAGCTGTGCTCTTCCCAGAGCATGGGATAATCAGCTTCATGTCATATGCTAGGTGTCAGGGGAGCATCCCAGAAAACAAATACAGTTGGTGGCAACCACCACAGTCACCATTAGCTTGGAGAAAGCAGAGAGTTTGTGTGTGAGAGAGTAATAAGAGATGTAGCAAGGAGGTCAGATCATAATTAGAGTTGGACAAGGCAAGGGTATGCAGTTGTCAGCATGTAAGGCACACGATAAAGAATCAAAATGAGGGAAAGAGAAACACAGACACATCCAAGAGCAGCAACCAAAACCAGAGATAGAAGTGTCAGGGAGCTGTGCCACCTCTGTGACAATGCAAGGCTGGGGTTGACCCACCACATTTTCCATGTTCTCACAGTTCTTCTGTAGCAACTCACCAAGGAGTGTCCAAAGTGTGGAATGTTCATGGGAGCATTGGACCTTTTCCAAACACCACTTCAGTATTGAAAAGTAGTTTCTAATTTTTTGTTGTTGTAGTTTATATCACAAGAATTTTGATTCTGATTCATAGGGCAGTTAAATCCTTAGTATTAGGTCACTCTTTATGCAAGTGGAGATCATTTCTGAAGTAGGGTTTTCAGAGTCTAATCTACTAATCTTAGCCTGATTGATTCTGAACATATGTAATGTAATTTGAAGGAACAGACAGCGAGGGAGGGCCATAGTGAGTAAAGCCTGATTAAACTCATTCTATTTCTCTTGGAGGCAGCACTGTTTACTGGGACATCTCAGGATTCTTGATTTTTCAGGCTCAGAAATCTGGCCCCTCCTGAGCACAGCTGATGAGCTTCTTAGGATAAATGAAGCTCCACTAATCTGATTCATAAAACACTGATTCAGAGTGTTGCATCTTCTGCTCTTTCTCTAGTAGGGGAATTCCTGTTAAGACCAATTTAGTTGGAGTAATTTTAGGTGAGCCTGGGATCCATGCAAGGGGGGGCAGAGGGTGTCATATGGTTTACACATGAGGGGCATTAGCCTTAAGAGCCAATCAAAAGGAAGAGCAACTGTACCTGAACAGTGGTACATTAACCACATGTCTGATGGTAGATATTTCTATCCTTTATTACTAATCACTTCCCTTCTGGGGATATGAATACTATTAATAAAGCAACACAAAAAGCTATATGCTGTTCCAGATTCCATCCTTGAAAGTATCCTCTAAGGGATGTTTGCACGTATATGTTATGAGTTGAACTGTGTCCTCCAAAGGGATATGTTAAAGTCCTCACTCCCAATTCATGTAAATGTGACCTTATTTGGAGTCTGTATAGATGCACAGTAGATTTCCCTTATTCGTGGGGAATACATTCCAATACCTCCAGTGAATGTATAAAACTGAGGATAGTACCATATCAATATATGTTTATACATACAGACATACCAATGAAAATTGTAACAGGCACAGAAAGAGAGTAGAAACAATAGTTGGCAATAGACTAGAGTAATTATAACAATATACCATAATAAGTGTAATGTGAATGATTGATTTTTTTGTTTTCTCTCTAGAAATATTTTTTTTATTTAATTGAATTTTTTGGTACTGGGGATTGAACTCAGAGACACTCAACCACTGAGCCACACCCCCAGCCCTATTTTGTATTTTATTTAGAGACAGGGTCTCATTGAGTTGCATAGCGCCTTGCTTTTGCTGAGGCTGGCTTTGAACGTGAGATCCTCCTGCCTGAGCCATCCAAGCTGCTGAAATTACAGGCATATGCCACTGCACCCGGCCTTCTAGAAATAGCTTAATTCCTAATTGCACTATACTAATATTTTTGGATTGTGGTCAACACCAGGCAATTGAAATCTAGAAAATAAAGCTGGATTGGGGGTGACTAGTGTAATCAAGTTAAGTTGAGGTTGTTAGGAGGGTCCAGTTTGTGGAAATTTGTTATGACAACCCTAGGAACCAGACTAGTGAATATTTAATTTGGAGGGCACTTTAGAATCATAGTATTTTTCTGATATTTCTATGAAAGTCTTCAGTGGGTGTAGTTGCTCTAAAAAGTTGGCTACAAATTAAAATGATAGTCATAATTTTACATGTCAAATCTATAGGGAGAATGACAGAAATTGTAAACAGGACTTGGCAGGGGAGGGGGCGGGGAGTGCCATTGTTGGGTAAGGTAGTGGTTGTAGCTTTCTGAACAGCCAGCCGGTGAAAAGGGACATGAAGGAATGATTGATCCTTTTGTTTGAAGGTCCTTCCTTTGAAAACGACCTACAATTGCAAACATGCTAAATGATTCTTAGCAAGAGGCTAGGTCTTTCATGACCATTGTTCATCCATCAACAGTCTTTCAGCCAGACATTAGATGCTCCCGGGCTTCTCCATTAATTACCAGAACATGCCATTCTCTTAGTGGTGAGTCTTAAGTGATGTGACATAATGGTCTGGCTCAAGTCATTATTTCAAGAATAAGAAAATGAACCAAAATACAATAAATCATTGTGTCTATCTATAACAGTGTTTATTTTAGACAATTAGAAATGTCAAAGTAATGTTTTATGCGATAAAATTCTTCTGCTTATCTTGGTTAGTTAAGAATTTGATTATTTTTCTGATGTGCATGACAATGCTTCACTATATGATTGAGAAAGTATTAGGAGCTATGACCACACTGCTATGAAGAAATGTTGTGTTTTGGAAACATGAAAGTTAAAACAGATAACCAGAATAACTAATTGAATTTTTACGAAGTGAAATTGCCTTACTTAGTATGACACTAAGACCAGAAACTTTAAAGAAAAATACTGTCAAATTTGATGATAAAACTTTTAAAATTTCTGAACAATAAGAGATATTTTTTGATTTTATAAATATTTACTAAGCACCACAGAGAGGCATCACAGTATGATAGACTCTGGGGCTAGAATGTCTAAGTTCATATTCTGTCTCTGCCATTTACCAACAATAAAGCTTCTCTGTTGTGACACATGACTAAACTCGTCAGGGTCACTCCAGGTTAGCCGTGCTGGCTCGAAATAATCACACAGAGACAGAGAAATGCCTTTTTCGTTGGGTTCTGTGACAGCTCCTCTGACCCAGCTCCCACAAAAGAGGCAAGGCAGATAAGAAAGAGAGAGGAGCGCATGATGAACCCTTTTATTAGGGAGAAGCCATTCAAAGGAGGCAAGGGGTCAGGTTTCAGGGCGTTGAATCTAGCTTCCTGAAGTGTTGTTGTCATCAGGTTTACTGACATCTAGGAAGGCCACGCCCATCTCATGTGCTGTGTGGAGATCAAAGGCAGAATGAGCAAAAAGATCTTTCCGTTGATATAAAATCAACACCCATAAATCAAAGGCATTTCTGTACATCAGTGACAAATCCGCTGAAAGTGAAACTAGAAAAACCACCCCATCTACAATAGCCTAAAAAAATTAATAAATAAAATAAAATACTTGGGAATAAATTTAACAAAAGAGGTGAAAGACCTCTACAATGAAAACTAC